ACAGCTCACAAAAGGTGCAAGAGAGCCCTGTTCCGCTTTGCATCTGGTCACCCTGCAAGGGTAAAGTAAAGTAAAGGGACCCCTGACTGTTAGGTCCAGTCGTGGACGACTCTGGGGTTGCGGCGCTCATCTCGCTTTATTGGCCGAGGGAGCCGGCGTACAGCTTCCGGGTCATGTGGCCAGCATGACTAAACCGCTTCTGGTGAACCAGAGCAGTGCACAGAAACGCCTTTTACCTTCCCACCAGAGTGGAACCTATTTATCTACTTGCACTTTGACGTGCTTTCGAACTGCTAGGTTGGCAGGAGCAGGGACCGAGCAACGGGAGCTCACCCCGTCGCGGGGATTTGAACCGCCGACCTTCTGATCGGCAAGTCCTAGGCTCAGTGGTTTAACCCAAAGCGCCACCCGCATCCCTATCTTTCTGTAGGCAAATTTAATAAGAGCTGGTATAGCGCAATGTCTAAGGTTGGAACCCTTAGCACACTTAATTGAGTAGAGCTCAATAAGGAATCTGCCTTATACTGAACCAGAGCTAGCTTAGTATTGTCTACACTGACTGGAAGTGGCTCTCCGGGGTTTCAGGTCACCCTGCAAGGGTAAAGTAAAGTAAAGGGACCCCTGACTGTTAGGTCCAGTCGTGGACGACTCTGGGGTTGCGGCGCTCATCTCGCTTTATTGGCCGAGGGAGCCGGCGTACAGCTTCCGGGTCATGTGGCCAGCATGACTAAGCTGCTTCTGGCGAACCAGAGCAGCGCACGGAAACGCCGTTTACCTTCCCGCTGGAGCGGTACCTACTTATCTACTTGCACTTGGACGTGCTTTCGTACTGCTAGGTTGGCAGGAGCAGGGACTGAGCAACGGGAGCTCACCCCATCACAGGGATTTGAACCGCCGACCTTGTGATCGGCAAGCCCTAGGCTCTGTGGTTTAACCCACAACGCTACCCACGTCCCTCAGTGTAAAGTAGGCACTAAGAAAAGGATCCCTAAACTTATTGGGATCTGCCCCATCTCTGCTGTAACCACTGTCCTCTTTCAATTGCTTTCATTTTCTCAGTTTCCCACTTCTCAGCATAAAAAGAGAATGGAGGGGTTGCGGGAGGGGGTGCTGCATTTATACCCCTCCTAGTTCCATGCTCTTATCTAAGGTGAGCAACCCAAGGAGACTTGCTTTTGCATCCTACGATGAGCATGAAGTTCACTGACCTTGGCCCAATCAATATCTCTCAGTTAACCTACCTCATAGGGCCTTCTTGGTAGTGGCGCCCTATGGAACGCCCTCCCGTCAGATGTCAAGGAAATAAACAACTATCCGACTTTTAGAAGACATCTGAAGGCAGCCCTGTTTAGGGAAGTTTTTAATGACTGAAGTTTTATTCTGTTGTTAATGTTCTGTTGAAAGCCGCCTAGAGTGGCTGGGGAAACCCAGCCAGATGGATGGGGTAGAAATAAATAATAATAAGGATAAGGATAAAGGGGGGGGCACAATGTATGTCACCCTCAGGTCTTTGGAGAAAGGATTAGAAAGAGAAAAAGGACAGTGCAAGTACTTTTCCACAGAAACTTACACTTAAGGACTTTTTTTTGTTATAAGTTAATATAAATTCCAGAATGAAAGCATACTTTTGCTGACACTTGACACTTCCAGACACCGATGACAGCACGTCAGCAATATTAATGGATTCCCAAGACGAAACCACCATAGTGCCAGGACACCGCTCCTAATTTTGGAACTGAAAATCATAAAAGGTCTTTTTTGGGAGCTACTCAGCAGCAACGTTAACAGAAAAGGTATCCACATGAAATGGTAATGTATGGGTTGCTCAAGAAGCATTGACTGAGTGGCTTTATTCCTGCATCGTCATTTCCTAAATTACAAGTTGCATCTCTCCCCCTACCCTACTTTCATCCAGGCAAAGCTGATAAAGTAAGCTACATCTGCTTTAGAAGACACAGGTTTCTGGTTCAGTAACAGGGTGGAGGTATACTCTGGGGTGGATGGATCTTAGAAACAGAAGCCAAATCTGCAAAGGCTCTGTCTGAAATTATGCCAGAATCTCACAGCAGCTGATACCTGGCACTTGGCCCAAATAGGGGAGAAAAACAAATCTGGGTGCCTGCTTTGTTTTTTAACCCGAGGCAAAGATGAAATGAATTAATTTTGAATGCTGCAGCGTCACTGAGAATGCAACAAAAAGTTAAATGAAATCAAACGCAAAGGAAATGAACAATTACATCGAGAGTCCAATTAGACCTGTTCTTCAAGGGTTTACTCATAGCCTTCTCCTACTTGCTTGGGCCTGCTGCCAAAACGCTCTCCCAAGTACCTGACAGGTGTTTATAGTGCAGTAGTAAAGGCAAAATTAAGTGTGGAGAACGAAAAAAACAGGCCCCATCTTCGCTATATGTATAGTCATACCTCATGTTACGTCCGCTTCATGTTACGTTCTTTCAGATTATGTCCCGCGGCGACCTGGAAGTACCGGAAAGGGTTACTTCCAGGTTTCACTGCTTGTGCATGCGCAGAAGCGCAGCTGCAGGTTGTGCTCTTTTCATGTTGCGAATGGGCCTCCGGAATGGATCCCGTTTGCAACCAGAGGTACCACTGTACATTTAAAGCAGTATCATACCACTTTGAACAGCCATGGCACCCCGCAAAGCATCCTGGGAACAGTAGGAGTCGAGAGGATACCACTGTTGCCCTGGAAAGCTACTATTCCCAATGGAAAGAGGGATTGACATGTTTATGTTGTTGTTGTTTAGTCATTTAGTTGTGTCCGACTCTTCGTGACCCCATGGACCAGAGCACGCCAGGCACTCCTGTCTTCCACTGCCTCCCGCAGTTTGGTCAAACTCATGTTTGTAGCTTCGAGAACACCGTCCAAACATCTCGTCCTCTGTCGTCCCCTTCTCCTTGTGCCCTCCATCTTTCCCAACATCAGGGTCTTTTCCAGGGAGTCTTCTCTTCTCATGAGGTGGCCAAAGTATTGGAGCCTCAGATTCACGATCTGTCCTTCCAGTGAGCACTCAGGGCTGATTTCCTTATGAATGGATAGGTTTGATCTTCTTGCAGTCCATGGGACTCTCAAGAGTCTCCTCCAGCACCACAATTCAAAAGCATCAATTCTTCGGTGATCAGCCTTCTTTATGGTCCAGCTTTCACTTCCATACATCACTACTGGGAAAACCATAGCTTTAACTATACAGACCTTTGTTAGCAAGGTGATGTCTCTGCTTTTTAAGATGCTGTCTAGGTTTGTCATTGCTTTTCTCCCAAGAAGCAGGTGTCTTTTAATTTTGTGGCTGCTGTCACCATCTGCAGTGATCATGGAGCCCAAGAAAGTAAAATCTCTCACTGCCTCCATTTCTTCCCCTTCTATTTACCAGGTGATCGGACCAGTGGCCATGATCTTAGTTTTTTTGATGTTGAGCTTCAGACCACATTCTGCGCTCTCCTCTTTCACCCTCATTAAAAGGTTTTTTAATTCCTCCTCACTTTCTGCCATCAAGGTTGTGTCATCTACCACTCTGGAAATTGTAGCTCTGAGAAGGGAGCATGATCTGGGTAGGGGAATGGAGGCGGCATCACCCAAGGATGCTCTGGAGCTCTGTCTGTTGGTGGAGGGACTGGGTAGCTTGATAATGAGTGTGTGCTGCCTCTAATGTGTCTGGCCCAGGTACAAAGCAAGAAGCTGGCTCATGCTTGATGGGGCCCTTAATGGGGAACCTGTGGCCTTCCAGTTGTTAAGAACCTAGGAAGAGCCTGCTGGATCCGGGCAATGGCCCACCTAGTCCAGCATCAGGTTCTCACAGTGGCCACCCAGATGCCCTACCTGCAAAGGACCTGAGCACAAGAGCACTGCCCTCTTGTGGCTCCCAGCAACTGGTATTCAGAAGTGAGGCCAGTAGCCATTGACAGCCTTATCCTTCATGAGTTTGCCCAATCCTCTTTTAAAGCCATCCAAGTTTGTGGACATCACTGCCCCCAATGAAAGCAAGCTCCATAGTTGAACTATGCGCGAAAGTACTTGCTGTTGGACTGCAACGCCCATCAGCCCCAACCAGCACCGCCAAGAGGCAAGGGGTGATGGGAGTTGTAGTCCAGCACTGTCGTATGTCAATGGTGCTGGAGACTCCATCTCCAACCCCTTCTGCCAGCCATAATAAAAGATCTCTGTGGGTTGCAGGTGTGCCGAATCGCTACGCCTGACTTCGTAAAGCAACAACAAACTCCACCTGGGAGCACCTCCAGGAATATTCTTTCTGCGTAGCGAGTTCTTGGCACACACCATGGCTGGCTGGCGTACAATTCCGCGGCTTGCGCACACCCACCCGTGGGAACACCCCTGTCGGGAAGGGCTCCCCCCGCCCCACCGCGTGCAGCAGGCCAGGCTGTGCTTTTCGCAGCGCAAAATGGGATTCTGCCGCAGGAGCAAGCGCCGGCTGTTGGCCGCTGCTTCTCACGATGCGTGGGCAGAAACAAGCAAAACCCAACCAAACAAGCGCGCACGGGCTCAATCGGGGAGTGGGGTGGATGTGGGAATCTGTCCCCGACGGGTTGCATCCAGCAGCCGTTTCCCCGAGGTGGCAGAGCAGCAACAGGGCGCTTGATCACAGCCCAAGTTTGCGCGCCGCTCGCTCGCTCTTGCTGCAGGGATTTGGGAACGGGCTGGCTGCGTGCAAAGCGGCTCCGGGTGACGCGCGCAGGCCACGCTCGGGAGTCTTCCTCGCTGCCTTTGTTTCTCCCGCGCCGCCTGCCGCAGTCTCCCAACTCCTGTTTTTGCACTTGGGCTTGTCCCGCCAAGGCGCCCCGCCCCGCCCCCTGCCTCGGAGCGCCGCCCTCGCCTCGGGGGCCGGCGTCGCCTGGCCGCGCGACCCCCCGCCCCCTCCTGCTGCTGCCCTCGCCACGCCCCCAGCCCTCGCGCTCTCCCCCCCCCTCTCGGGCGCCGGGACTTCCCTTCCTCGCTCGCGCTCCATTCAGTGCCCCTGGCGCTGCGCTTGTCGCCGCCGCTGCCGCTGCCGCTGTCCTCGGCATGTCCCTGAGCGGCGCTCCGGCTGCCAGTGGGAGCTCGTAGGCGGCGGGCTGGGGAAGCCCTCGCCTTGCCGTGCGTCTCGCGTGCCTCGGGGATGGAGGGCGCCGGAGGCGGGCGCCGAGCGTGAGGAGAGCGTGGTGTGCGGGGGAGCAGCAGCAGCAGCCGGCTCGGAAAGTCCGTCAAGTCAGTCGGGCAGGCAGGCAGGCGAGGAGGCAGCCACCCCGCCATGGAAGCGCAGCCGGCAGCGGCCCCCGCGGCAGCGGCCCCCCAGGTCGCGGCGGCCCCCGGCGCGGCGCCCTCGGAGCCTGCCAAGGATACGGACCGGCAGCTGCGCCTTCGGCTCTGCGTCCTCAACGAGATCCTGGGCACGGAGAGGGACTACGTGTGCACCCTGCGCTTCTTGCAGTCGGTGAGTGGCACGGGCGCGGGCAAGGGCGGGAGGGGGGCATCGGGGGCAGAGGAAAGGTCGCGCCGAGGGGCGCGAGGACGAGGGTCAGCTGAGCGACTGCGGCGCGCCGTGGACGCGCTCGGGCCGAACCGGACGGTTAGGTCGTGGAAAGGCTCGTTTCCACCCTGCACGGCGCGGACACACTTGAGAAGAGTCTCCGTGAGGATTGGAACTTTGCAGGCTTGCGTTGCTGCCTCTCGAGTTGGAGGATCGACTCCCTCTGGGTGGGCAGAAGGGATCGGTGGCTCCCCAAGGAGCTGGGAGTGTTGAGAGTTGGCCCCATCCTGCACACCGGCGGCTTGGAGGTGGGGGTAGTGGGTTCAGGCGCGCGCGGAGGGGGGAACCCAGCTCAGGATTGGTGTTTTTTGGGGGGGGAGGAGGGTGCAGTGCCTTGGACGACTGTCTTGCCCGAAGGCAGTACCGTATGCATGCCTCCACTGCTTTTGCGCACTGAGATGGGGGTTGCATGTTCTGTTTTGAGAAGGAGCTGAGTGTTGGGAACTGTGGTGGATACCGGCATGCAACTAGAGGACGCAGCGGAGCCTTCCTGCGCTAGTGGAAAACGAGTGGATGTTTTTGCAAGCTGAGCTTGTCAAAGACAGGAGAGCGCTTCCGTCCCGCGGAACGGGAACTGAGGTGGTTGCTTGCTAGCCGTGGGGTTCCCGGTGGGTGGCTAGTGGCAACAGCCCATGCTGGGAAAACTGAGCCTTGTTGGCAGACGCTAGGTGTGGTTTTTAAATCCTCCCTTTCAATATCCAAAGGCTTTCAAGATGTTTACACAGATGATCGTTCCTGAGATAGTTCAGAAGGTGCATGAGCTGGCAAAAGAGGGAGCCCTTTGCAAACAACAGTGACCTAGTACTAGTACGATTTTTTTTAAAAAGAACAAAGTGATAAAATTACTTCCTGTCTTAAGCTTAAGCCTAAGGGTGGCTGCTGTTTTTTGAAGCTTCTATTGACATCATTCACTTGGAAGATGTTGAATAGAATGTTGTGTACGCTTTATACTTTGCATTTTCTGTATTCCCCCACCAAACAATAATTGGCTCTCTCAGAGACCCTTTTGCTTTTAATTTGAAAGTTATTTTTTCTTCTCACTCTTGCAACCTGGCTTCCAGCAGCCTTCCTTGCCTGAGTGTGGTTTCTCCCTGAGAACGTATATCTATTGCTTCATAATAGTAAATATAGATATGTGATTGCCGTGGGAGGCTGTCCGCCCATGTGGGGGTAATTCGTTTCCCCATGCAAATTGAAAAGTTTCAGGAAATGACTTTCCCATCTGGGTAGTTCTCATTTATTTTGCTGCCATGGCACTTGGAACTCATTAGCATTACACCACACTTCTCCCTTTGCACAAAACACAACCCCTTTGTGGCTAACACTATCCTCCCACTGTTCCAAAGCTCTGAGAAAGAACAGTTGATTGTGAGTATTGCCTGCAAACATCCGCAGTTGTGCTAGCTTTCTAGCTTCTTTGTTAGTAGCACAGCAAGCATGCACTGGGATAGCCTTTCTGTGAGTGCATCCTGCCCATTCTGCACTGACATCATATGCTGTTCAGGCTTGAAGAGTCAGTACCCTGGTGTGTTTATGCACAATGGCTACATCTAGATAAGACAATTGTATTGTTTTCTAAGTAGGGTTGCCTTCAAACACGCTTGGGAAACTTTAAAGCAGTGCAAAATTTGGCTGCCAGAATTCAACGTCAGCGAGGCTTGGCAGTTTGACCAGATTGCACTGATCTGGATCAGTTGCATTTGTTACCCATTTGTTTCATTTTAAGTGCTAGTGCTAATTTTTGGTGTAGGGATGGAGACTCTGTGACCTTCCAGATAGCGCTGGATTACAACTCCCATAATCCCTGATCTTTGGGCATCCTGGGTCTGATGGGAGTGGCACTTCAAGAACATCTGGATGCCCTGAGATTCCCCATCCTTGGGTGCCTTAGAACCCAGTGTATTTGAAGAACCACATATTGCCATATGAATTTGCCTGGGCTCTAAATACCACTGGAGCTGATTGGTGCCAGGGAACAGGGCCTGTTCAGTAGTGGCACCACAATTCCCTCTGCTGGGAACCTTGGCTGGCACTGTTTCTTGCAACCGGATGGTAAAGATTTGTTTATTCTGCCAAGGCTTTTTTCACTTCTATCGCTATATGTTTAATTTTTTAACTACTGTACGTGTTTAGTATCCCATTGTTTTGTTTTGAATATTTTCACTGCAATGCTGTGGGGTAGAAATAAAATATTCTGGGTTATATGCAACATACTGAAGGTACACCCACTGAAATCAATGGACTTAAGTAACATCAGGAAATGTGCATCTTTTAGAGGGTTATTGTTTATTGGAAGCATTTTTACTCTGCTTTTCAGCAGTAATAATGATAATAAAATTTACTAGAGGGGCATGCAAAGTCATAAGACAGTCCCTGCCCTCAGGCTGACAGTCTAAAAAGCATGACACGAAAGGAAAAGGAAGTAGGAAAGAGGAGAAAAGTAAATTCAGCCACTGGTACTTCTTTACAGAGTTCTTTAGTGATCTCTGCAGACTGTTCTTGCTTCAGGTAACACGTATAACCATTGTTCACAAGTTCTGCTTTTCACTCCTTAAAACAGAGATGGGGATCTGTGGCCGTTTAGCTGTTGTTGGACTCCAACTCCCATCAGTCCCAGCCAGCATAGCCAGTGGTCAGGGATGATGGGTGTTTTAGTCCAGCAACATCTGAAAGGCCATAGATCCCCCACCAGTGCCCTAAAAAACACCTTTACTAGCTAGTAGTCTGAAGACACCACTTCCTCACTTGTCTACCATGGATCCTGCCCTGTGACAAAACGTAGATACTACCACATCATGGTACACGTGGTGCCACCCTGGTACAGTCCATTTACTTTTCCAACATCTTTCATGTGTCTCAGTGAAACTGACAGCCTGGAGGTAGGGAAAGGCATGCCAATTTTGTAAGTGCATCAGGGTGTTACTTTAAAAATTAATACAGGTACATATAAAACATAGTACTGTTCTTTCTGATACACATGCATTGCACATGCAATACACATGCAATACAGGGCCGGCCCTTTCATTAGTCAAAGTGAGGTAGCTGACTCAGGGTGGATAATAATAATACGGTAATAATAATAATAATAATTTATACCCGCCCATCTGGCTGGGTTTCCCTAGCCACTCTGGGTGGCTTCCAGAAGAATATTTTGATTCATCAAAAATTAAAAGCTTCCCTAAACAGGGCTGCCTTCAGTTGTCTTCTAAAAGTCCAATAGTTGTTTATTTCTTTGACATCTGGAAGACAGGACCATGTGTGTCAGCCGCAGCCTGTTCTGCACTCTCTGAGCTAACCATCACCCTTGGATGTAGTGGTGGATCCTAACCCATCCCCAACGTTCAGGTAACATTCAACTGCCAGACCAGTCAGCTTTTGTACAGGGAATGGTGGACATGATATCCCCTTTGCTTCAGGCTGCAAAATGTCTTGAGCTGGTCTTGGTAGGGTTGGTGGAGAAAATAGCCTTGCTAGATGGCCGTGGTCATTGAAGAGAAATAAGGTCGTGACACACTATGAAGGAAACAGGAAAAAAAATTGCAGGAAGGCTGAAAAGCAGTTGTAAGTCCACCTTCTTGGTAGGGGTGGGGTTGTTGGGATCCCAACTCCCATCACACCCAGCCAGCATGCAAAATGGTCAGGAATGTTGGGAGTTGTATTCCTACCAACATCTGGAGGGCCACAAGTTCCTGCTTCTGCTTTATGGCCTCAGTCAATTTCGAAATGGGGCCAGTACATTTAAAACTGCATTAATGTCATTCACACATGCGCATTAACAGGGAAAGAGTAATACATTTGATATTGGATGAAGTTGCCCCTTCTGTTTTCCTCAGATTGTTTGTAAGACCACGTCTGCTGTGGGTTGCTGTGCAGAAAAGGATTTTCTTCCTTTCTGTCCTCACTGTCTAGCACCATGAACTCACTGACATAACAGTTGATTGGAAAAGTTATAGTTGCTTTAAGGAACTGACACCAACTTCAGTCCTGGTTTCTCTCTCTCTATCTATGGTTGAACACAAAGAGTATGTAATCTTCCAAACCTCCCAATTACAGAGGCTGCTGGCTTTGTGTTCTTGAAGTTCTGTTTTTGTGGAATGTGCTGCTATAAAAAGCGCATGTCGCTCAACCATCAAGACTGCTGTCCCACCCCAGACAAACCAAACCCAAGTTTTTCTGTCCCAAGTATTGAGTGGTTTTTGTCATCCGCAGGCTAGGCTACTGGTTATTGGTTGTTTGCCAGGAATGAGCTGAGCACATTTAACTTTGACATGTCACAGTTTGATAGATACTTGTAGGATCATTCTTCTAATTGGGAGGAGAACACAGATGGTGTTCATCTGTGTGTGTATGTGCATGCTAGGATGTCTTGGGAGAGAGTTGTTAAATAATCTGGATGTTTATTGGGTCAACAGTGCTTAACTAGATGGAGCAATGGTCTGATATGGTATAAAGAAAGTTCCTATGTACCTGCGTAGGTATTCTTATGGATATAGGATATATAAAAATGCCACACTTACTACATGAGCCGGCTGATTCACATGTAGAACGACCGTATCAGAAATCAGTGTCTTGGTTGTTGTACAGATGACTTGCTAACTCTATATGCAGAGGACCGGCTCCTGTGGCAAGTGGGTTTATGCATAATTATGTGCATGCAGAACAGTTTCACAGACAAGTACTGTTGTGCTGGTTTCTGCTCTGAACATCTCACCTTAGCATTCATTCCTGTGAGGCTCCACCTGCAGCCTGAATGGTTCATCTTAAACCTAAGTTACAGTCATCACAATGGAATGTCTATTCACTGAGGGTTGGAGTAACTGACCCATGGGGATCCCCTTCAGGGGATTTTATGATTTTTTGATCTCAACTACATTGCTTGACTGTAGCTTGGTGGTGTTACAACG